GTTAAAATTGCGGGATATGGACATGCAATTGTGTGAAAAAAGTCATAATTGCATAATAGCTTTTTTCTCATGATTGTAAGTTTATATCCCACAATTTTGACATTATAATTTGCAATTATTATAACTTGCAATTGCGAGTTTATATCTCACAATTCTGGGGGAAAAAAGTCAGAATTGTGAGATAAAAAGTCATATTTATCTTTTTAATTTTTGATTCCATGGTGGAAACAAGCTTCCATAGTTACCGGAGTATAATGTGTTATGAGAGAAACATCTCCAACTGACAGTTTGGAAAAATTCTGCTACCTGACAGAATAGTGTATGCTAGTCTGCTAGAAGTAAAGTGTGTATCTCTTCTTTTTCAAGCCTGATGTCCATACCAGACCGGTGAATAATTCAGTTCCCGAGGAACCCATATCGCAAGCATTGCAAAAGATATTAACTATTAAAATGTCCTGTGTGAAGTGCACTTGAGAGCGAGCTAGCTAGAGAAACCAGGAGACAACAAACATGGTGGGAAAGAGGAGAAAACAGAGAAGAGATAGTGGGAGAGACAGCGCAACATGTCAGAAAGCATGCTGTGAATCATGGGTAAATGAGTGTATTTGCTTCCCAATGCTCTGTGACCTAGATTAGAGTAATCTCTCTCTCTTTCTGTTTTGTCCCTAGGTCTCTCTCTCCCACTCTATCTCTTTCTCTCTTTTTCTTTACAACTCAAGGAAGCCTGCCTGTCCTCCTACAGTCACAGTGGGCGTTTCAGCTACTGAGGTTACCTGAACAGATGCACACAATCAGACATTGTACAGCTGGTCCGTGCCTCTTTAGTTTAAGTATATACTGACCAGCTATGGAAGAGGATTTCCACACACACACACACACACACACACACATAGCTCATTTGATCAGCTTAAGTGCATAAAAGCGTCTGAGTATGTGCTGGGAATTCAAGCAGAGATCACGACTGCTCAGCCCTGATGCGTTCAATGGTGCTCATTGTGTGTGAGTGTGTCACAACCTCCTATTTCCACCCCTCTTCCTCTGTCATGAAGACACACAAACAGAAACAAACTATTTCATTCACAACACACGTACATTACAAATAATGAATACATGATGATGGTGGAGTCTCTCATCTCCTGTCTTGTTACTGTAAACAAATACATGCACACAAGCAATTACTTTAATGCTATACAAATATATACTTAGTAAATATATTATGTTATGACTTAATTTTTATAAAATGTGTGGAAAATTGTGCAATTCCTGGCTACATACATTTAAATGTATACATATTTTATGTATATGTAAGAATATTTGAAGAGTTTGGTTCCAAAACGCTATAAATCCATTTTGATTCATTTGAGTAAAAATGTGTTTTCTTTACCAAGAAAGTGGCAAGATGAAAACCACTATTTTCAGTTTCAAACTTTCACATAGCATCTTTAGGTTATAATAACGTTAAAAAAATTCAAGTCCAGATTTAGATTTTCAAAGATTTATTATAAAATTGTATAATTTTCCCCCCAAAATGCAATAAATCCATGACACGTTTTTTTTTTCAAAATGCAATCAAGCCATTGAATCAATATAAAAGTTATTTTTCATACTGAAACTGTTGAAAATACACCACATGATTAATCCACATATGACAGCCTCTGAACTCAATACTAATCTTATATACAGGCACTGGGCTAAAAATACATTAAATCAGTCATCGCTCCTAAAATGAATTCAACGGGTCATCTTGTTAATGCTATAAATTAATTACAGCAATAAAATAAAATTTCATCATGAACAAGAACATGAACAACAATATCACATTAGACCACAAAAATTCCAAAATGCCATTTCCCTTCCAAAAGAGCATTCATCTTACATTCATTTAGTTTACTAATGCTATACGCTATATTAACAAAAACATTAATGGCATTAATAAAAACACACTGACAAGCTACGCAATATCGCGTTCATAATCGAATGTGACTCATCTGCGATTATGAACGCGATATAGCAGTGA